ATTAACATCAGTTCTGTCAGCCGACCTGATAGCATCAGGTATTCAATATTCTTGGCCCATATGATAACATCAGGTATGCAGGTTTATCGGCCGACCTGATGGCATCAGGTATACCTTTCTGTCGGCCCATATGACAATGTCATGTATTCAGTTTCATCGGCCCATAAGTTTGCATCAGTACCATCGGCCAACATGATGGTGTCAGCTATTTACAAGGAAATACATACATGATGCCCTCATGTCGGCCAAAAGACCTGATATCATCATGTCGGCTGAATATACTGGATGCCTGATATTATCATATGGGCCGACAAAACAAATACCTGATGCCATCATGTCGGCCAATAGACCTGATACTATCATGTCAGCCGAATATACTAAATGCCTGATATTATCGTATGGGCTGATGGAAATGAATTCCTGATACCATCAAGTTGGCCAATGGCACTGATGAAAACGTATGGGCTGACGAAACTGAATACCTGATGTTATCTTATGGGCCGACGGAAATGAATGCCTGATTCCATCAGGTTGGCCGATGTAACTGCCTGATGTTATCACATGGGCCGAGAATATTGAATACCTGATGCTATCAGATCGGCTGATGAAACTGCATATCTGATGCAATCACATCGGCCAAGAACATAAACAGGTATTCATGTCTCTCGGCCCATATGATGGTGTCAGCCTTTTATTCCAATTGGCCCATATGATGGCATCATACCCACAATTTCCAGACCAATCCGCACAGGAACATATATGCTTCACCCCCATCATTGGCCGATTGGTACACACAGTAGCTATAGTGTGTGGGTCCAGCTGACAATATCTCACCACCAATTTACTGGCCCTCAGCCGACATGTTAATGTCGAGCATCCCAATGCATGGGCCCCAGCTGTTAAAACCATCGCTCCATGAGCCCACCGGCCGAATGTTAAACCACAGACATAGATATTCGGTCGGCCGACGTCGCTGGCCTGTGTGGAACAGCATATTTTCAACATTTGCTGCATGTATAATACATGCAATGTGACTGAATGGGCTCCAAGGAGAATAACTCATGGATATGCAGAGGACGGTGTCATGCATGGTATGGAACTCATACCATGACATTGATAGACAGGAAGTAGCTACAGAGAGTACACTAAGGTGTACCTCATTGTATTATTATGATTGGTTTCATTTTGACAGATTTACTTGTATTTATATTTCCAGTATGATAGTTTTCACCTTTCCCCTTTCCTTTTCATTTCTTTATGTGGTTTATTCAGCCACCAGTGAGCGACCAAGATGTGTTAGTAAGCATGTCATGTGATAGGCAATATTCTGCTTTGTAAGGATCCCTGCATAATTTGTCATGTGGCTTCCATTTGTTTCCATTTGTTTCTATTTGTTTCAGGCTCATTCAGCCACAGAATCCTTCAGTGAGCCACCAGATATGTTTGTAAGCATGTCATGTGATAGGCAATAATCTAATTTGTAAGGATTTGTCATGATTGGTCATGCTTCATCATGCTTTGTCATGCTTGTCATGATTTATCATGCTTTGTAATATTATGAACTTTATTTGTAAACTACTTTGTAAGCAGCTGATTCAGCACTGCCAAATGGCATGGTTAGTAAGCCAGTGACTTACTAATGCTGTAATGAGTCATGCTTAGTAAAATGGCCTCCCAAAAAGGTATAAAAGGAGCCCATTCTACACTGAGTAATAATAACTTCCCACTTTTCACTCTTCTCTCAAACGTGAGAGTCCGTAAGACTTAAAGTGCAGGCCAAGAGTGCCTTGAAGTAAGATAAACATTGTATCAGAATTAGTTGTATACTACCTTACAGGGGTCGCTTATATAACAATCTATTTATAAACTACTTGTTGTGTGCTACCTTTCAGGGGCTGAGTATACAACACCAGAACAGCTTTCGTACTAGGCTTTACATATCTAAGACAGACTTCATTACTTGTTGTGTACTACCTTACAGGGGTTGAGTATACAACACCAGAACAGCTTTCTAACTAGGCACGTATTTTAAGACAGACTCTCTCTTTTTCAGGAAGGGAGACACGAGAACACGACAAAGTTGAGACAGACTTTCATAGGTTGAGACACGACCTACGAGATTGAAACAGATCTTACTATCAGAACATTAGGGAATCTACGAGTATTCCACCAGGGAACAACAAGAAGAGGACACGTCAGTAAACCCTCCCAAGAACTCACACATTATCTACCATGAAAACTAGAAAAGTCGTAGACCGTGTACTTAAGGACTGGCAAGAAGTCTTATCCTGTATAGTTGTGTTGTCACTATACACGCGTTGTACATAAGACCCTTAAGTAGTAAGACAATGGTCGACAGCAGCAGGAAGATGGTGTGGAAGAAGGGAAGAAGAAAAGAGGGACCTCAACCATTGGGGCAAATACTTTGTAAACTTTGGGGATGCGGCACATGCTGTTGAGGGTTCTATGCTGAAAGAGTTCTTCCTCGAGTGGCTGGAATTTAATTATCACCAAAAGTCCCAAATCTAGATATGGCAAGATCCTGCCATATCATATCACAACACTGGGTAACAGACCCATCAGACGGGTCACGTACCACCAGATCAAATTCGTCCAGATATTGTATACTCTCGACTGCTCGCTGACTATCATTCTGCTGAATTTCCGCCACACGCTGGCTATATCTAAGTCTCGCTAATCTTCCATCATCTAGATGTTGTAAGTCCCAGAAACTGGTTTGACGCTCAATGTCGCATCATTTTCTGGCTGCGTCTAAGTCATGCCAAACTAGATATTGCAAGACTTGGAAACTTGTTTGACTCTCGGTCACCAGTCATTTTCTGAACGTCCCATCATCTGCTGGCTACATCTAAGTCCTGTTGAACTTGCATCATCTAGATATTCTATGAGCAAGAAACAGTCAACTGCTCATATGCCAGTTCCTGCTGACACCTTATCAGATCGGTCATACAATATAAGCACATATCATTTGATTGTACAGTAGCTGAACATGTACAGACAGCTGTAAGGATTACCAATCGTTTGATTCCGGAAATAGCCATTTAAATGCTTACCTTAACCACCATCAGCGCACTGCCAGCCTCGGTCAGCATGGACCTCAACTCCCTTTCAACACTTACCTCTCGTCATTGTCGACCCTCAGTTCTCATTCTCTGTCACCGTCACCCTATTTTCAGCTCGCCGTCTCCGAATCTGTCAAGTTCCACTATGCAGCTCTTGTCACTTTGTCAATACCACACCCTTTTATATCACCACTCACTCAATTGTTTCGTATCCCCTTCCCTTTCAGTCTACTCTACCCTGTCAGGCGTGGACACCACTCCCTTCAGCACCCGTCGTCACATAATCAATTCGGCATAGCTATACCCAACCCTTAGTATTTCGAAGTATAAAAGTAGCCCATGTACACTCACTACCACAGGCAATCATACCAGTCGCCCAGTCTCAGTCTCACACTCGTTATCTAAATTGTATCACTATATCCATCGTTTATCGTCTCACACTCGTCTCGATCATTATCGCATAACATTAGTTAACACTAATCTAGTTCTATAGCGTTACAGCATCACACTAGTGGTCTCCACACCCCTTTGAACTCACAGTGAGAGCCACTTAGGTTCTTACATATTGGAGCCCACCGCGAGGGGTGTGTTTCAGATCTCTTGACTTATCTTAGCGCATCCCACTGTCCTTACTATCCACGCTGGCCCCCATCAGAGACAACTGCGCTCTCGTCGGCCCTTCCATCCCTCAACCAGCCCCAGTCACACCATCAAATCCCATTTCCTGCCCCATTCGTCCCAGAATCGACTCAGATGACGACACCAACACCAACACCAACTCAGATGAGAATCCATTTGCACCGGACAACCCTAGACCTTCATATCCTACTACCCCGCCGCACCCTTACCACAACCCTCATTTAACTTTCAGCAACCACAACCCTTTATCTTAAGACCCACCATCTTCACTAATACTCAAGCATGACCTACAACCCAGCTGATGACAATGACAACGATGTCTCATGTGCATCGAGGCACAGGTGCCATGCCCGGCCCTAATTATAGTAAAGCGCCGCTCTTCAACAGCGAGATGTTGGAGTTGTTGGAGTTCTTCAAAGTGTTTGAAGATCTCACCTCTACTTATGGTCTAACAAGTGCTGACAAGTGCAAAAGTCTAGTCTGATACGTGGATCGTCAAACCAAGCGTTTTTGGATAATGCTTACGGGCTTTGAGAGTCGTGAATATGGGACCTTCAAGAAGAGCATCTTAAGCCAATATCCAGGTGCCAGCAAGGGACAGCGCTATACCGTTGGCAAGCTTGAACACATCGTTGTTAATCAAGCAGACAGCGACATCAACACGGAGAAGGAGCTTATGCATTATTACAGTCAGTTTTGAGCCATAGTCGTCTGGCTTGTCTCCAATAGCAAGATCTCTGGACACAACCGCGACAAGTACTTTTGGCAGGGATTACCGGTCCGTTGGAATGGTGCCTATGAGACAAGAGGCGACGGACTCAAACCAAACACGAAGGACATGCACTACCTAAGTATCTAAGTGCCTCGAGGCCCAGGCAAGACCCCTGGCACCTCGGACAGACCCCCTGGCTCAACCTGAGCCAAACCCCACTAACACACTGTGCTCATCATCAAATCCTTCAATGGCTCGAGCTTAAGGACCCAGATTTTAACCGCAACGAGCCAGCCCATTTCGAGAAGGTTGTAGAGGCAGGTCATCATGTTTTCTCAGATGAGGCTTTTGACGCCGAGTTCAATAATCCCATCACCCTTCACATCCAGTCCATTAGAGATTGTTGTGCCCCTCCGACTACTACCAGCCATCGTCAAGTGTGAGAGAGTCCAGCATATGACTCAGACGATTCAGATGAGCCTCATGATGCTCCTCGCAAAGTATGAACAAAGACTGTGCATTTTACGCAGCCTCAAGCACCTGTTCAAGCACCACAGAAGTCCACTATGGACGAGGTCGATGCACTTGCTCGATGGATGCACAATCTCGACATTGGTGATATTAATTATTCGGTGTGTTATTCACAGCTTGCATGTCTCTCTCCTGCTGCCGCTAATGCCTGGGCTACCCCCCGTACTCATCAACTCTGCAGTAATGTGTCTACAGCTCCTCCTGTACCCTCCAGCGCCCCACTTCTCCCAAAACAGTGTTTGTTCTGCAGACAGTCTCACTACCTTCGATATTGCCAGGTAGCTGCTGAATACCTTCGCACGGGACACATCATTCATGAAAACCTCTTCCTTCTCAATCCCAACAGCTCGTGAATTCAACGACAAGACATTGAGAACCTGCAGCAAGCCATAGATAGGCATGCCCAGTCTGCCACATCATCCACTCCATCCTCGAACTCTCCTCCCACAACCATTCCCTCCAGTGCCTTCATATCCGAAAGCTACTTCTTTCAGTGCACTCGAATCACAGAGAATCATGCTATGGTCACAACAGTCGAGGATGATGACTCGGGTGCAGACACTCTTGCCATCACTCATTCGAAGGTGAAAAAATGCGGTGCTTGATAGTACAGATATGAGACCATCTCAAGAGATGTCAAACAAGGCTACCAGTTCGCCATCCAGTTCCTGCGCTCACCAACAAACTCACTCCATCAATGTTCCCCTTCCAGACGTCCCTCTCGCACCTCCAAAGAAAACTCCAGCCTATGTCTATGAGTCGAAAGCAGCCATTCCGGATGCTGCTTCCCGCACCTACCAGAGCATGCTCAAGATGGCCGTTCCAAATGTCATGATCACTGATCTTCTTGCAGTCAGCTCAGATCTTCGCAGGGAAGCTGTCAAACACTGTAAAATGCACTGAGTATCCACTCCTTCATCTGCCACTACTCTCGCAGCTGTTATTCCGGTCCCACCTCCTCAAATCGAGCATGCCACACCGCTTCGTGAGCTCAAAGTCATGCTCAATGGCATTCACACGGAGATGGCACTACTCGATGAAGGCTTGGAGCTTGTCATCATCCGAGAAGACATTTGGAAGAAGACTCAAGCCCCGATCAACAAGGACATTTGTATGCACATGCAGACTGCAGACAGAGGCTCTCAGGACATGTCTGGGTGTCTCAAGATGCTCGAAATCGATGTCAACAGCATAAAAACATGGGTGCTGTCATATACCATATATCCGGTTACAGATCCGATGATCTGGATCTCAGATCCGATCCAGATCCGATGAACATATCCGTCGTCCGGTCCACAGATCCGCTTTGATTCTTATTTCATTTCCTGTTCATATAACTCTAACTATCGTTCATCTCCTTTCGGTATTCCTGTACACCGGTATATACCGGTTATCCTTTACTTCCGCTTTGCTTACTGATCCGCTACACTTACGAATCCGCTTTTACTTGTACTTCATTCCCGGTTCATGATTCGTGATCCATCCAACTTACCAATACGCTCCACTTAGACTTTGCTTATTGATCATTCCGTTAGCTATCCGTAGTATATAACCTTTGTATATGCGCTGTAGTAGATCAGTTCGAATATCATCTTAGATTGCACTCATTCCGTCTGGACTCTGAGTCCCTCCGTTATCCATCCGGACTTGAATACGCTACTCTTGTCTACTCCGAGACTTAGGATAGATTCCTATAGTCTACATATCCGCCTCTGTCTTCGGACAGTCCTCACCCGTTAGTTTCTAGTCCGGATCCGATCCGGATTGGCCGTTACTCTAAATACGCGATACTTTAGCTCTCTGAAATAAGGGGCAAGACTCGGGAAAGGGGCACAGCGCACGAGCTGAGGCCGAAGCCCTTCGGATCCGATACTACTTGAGTACGGTCTTAACAGTATATTCGAACTCATACCTTTCCGAGTTACTTAACATCTATCATGCCTCCTACCAAGACACAAACAACTCTGCACGCGGTCGGACTAACCTCCCTCCGTCGTGATCCGACACCTATAGTCAACACCTTCACCAGTTTCTCTCAGCGCCGTGTTAGCGCCCACGGAACCGCTCAAACCATATCCGAACTCCTTAATCGTCGACACCCGGAAACCCCAACACGCACTCCTGCCGTAGGACCTCCGGACGATGATAATCCCGATGATGGTGATGATGATTTCCCTGGTAATTCCACCCGATGATAACGGTGGTGACCCGGATGATGATCCGGATGTTGAGGATGATGAAAATGACGGTCTAAACCCACAAGACCGCGTTATGCTTCGACTCTCAGAAGCCATCGATAACCTTGCTCGCAATAATCGTCGCGCGCCTGCATCCGAAGATTCTAGAGTCAAGGTCCGAGAACCGGATACCTTCGACGGATCCGAACCACGGAAGCTCCGTGCGTTCTTTGTCCAGTGTGAGCTTAACTTCCAGAGCAAGCCTAAGGCTTTCCGTACCGGGAGGGCTAAAGTCAACTTCGCCCAATCCTACCTTAAGGGTATGGCCCTTGAATGGTTTGAACCGGATCTCCTGTCCGATGATTTGGACGACCATCCGGATTGGATGGATGACTATTCCGTGTTCATGCTTGAGCTCCAAGCCAACTTCGGGCCTCATGACCCATCCGGTGATGCAGAAAATGCAGCTCGAACAGCTCCACATGCGCGATGGACAGCGCATCAACAAGTACGTTGTGGAATTCCAGCGTCTTGCTTCACAGGTTCGTGGCTGGGGCGACGGAGCCTTACGACGCCAATTCTACAACGGACTCCCGGCCCGTATCAAGGATGAAATCAGTCGCATGGGTAAACCCTCTACTCTTTCCGAATACAAAGTCCTCGCTCAGACTATCGACGCCCGATACTGGGAACGGAAGGGAGAGATCTCTCGAGAAGCTAAACCCACTTCATCCACTACCCCTAAGCAATCCACTTCTGACCGGACGAACTCCAATACGTCCGGATCCGGAAATCACAAATCCGGAAACTCCCATGATCAGAAGTCTACAAAGCCATCCGCGTCCTCGAACTCGTCCGCTCCTAAAGTTCCGGATCTTACTTCCAAGCTGGGTAAGGACGGAAAGTTAACGTCCGAAGAGCGGCAGAGAAGGATGGACAAGAAACTCTGCTTATTCTGTGGTGGGCCCGGCCATACTGCTCGGGAATGCACCAAGTCTACTTCGCGTGCTGCCAAAGGCCGCGCTGCAGTAGTCGCTCCGGAAGTCAAACCGGATGTCTCTACTGAGACAAAAAAATAGTCCGCGACTCTCCTAGCTCCGTGCAGGAGGAGGGTCGCGTTGACTCTGCCTGCACAAAGGAGTTAAGACTCAACGCTGTCGCGCTCCTCGGATCCGACTTCCCTCTGTCCATATGTTTCACTTCCGTTACTTCCATCCGTATCCGAATTTCCAGCTCTTGTAGATTGTGGTTCTTCTCATTGTTTCATAGATACTGCGTTCATCCGAAAACACAAAATCCCTACATATCCGATACCTACGATTCCGCTCCGCTTGTTTGATGGTACTTGTAATAATACTATTTCCGAAGCTATAGATTTGTCCGTCCGCTTTCCGTCCGGCGTAGTCACCTCTGATACGTTCTACGTTACCCCTTTGGATTCATCTTGTTTTATCGTTCTTGGATATAGCTGGCTCACCCGACACAATCCGTTGATTGACTGGGTTTTGGGCAGCATCGAATTCCGGACGACATCCTCATGGAATGCCATCGACCCCTCCGACGTCACTTCCGTCCTCGGATATCCCTCCTCCGACGGAAACCATACCTCCTCCGACTACATCCGTACCCTCCGCTGATAACACTGTTCCTAATATATCCCTAATCAATGCAGTTGCCTTTTGCCGGGCCTGCAAGTTAGAAGGATCGGTCCAGTTCAGTATATACCTTCGACCATCCGGTGTCGATCTCCGATCCGCTTCTCTATCGTCCGATCCTCCGGATCTATCCCAAATTCCTTCGGACTATCACGAGTTTGCGGATGTCTTCGACAAGGGAAAAGGCTGGTCAGCTTCCTCCACATCGTCCTTATGATCTGAACATAGATCTGGAAGAAGGAACTAGTCCTCCCCTCGGAACTATCTATTCTCTATCCCCGGTCGAGCTTGCAGCCCTCCGGAAGTTTCTTGATGAAAATATTGCCTCTGGACTCCTCCGCTCCTCATCCTCTCCTCACGGAGCTCCGGTCCTATTTGTCAAGAAAAAGGACGGATCCCTCCGCCTTTGTGTGGATTTCCGTGGACTCAACCAGATCACTAAGAAAGACCGATATCCATTACCCCTCATTGCCGACCTATTAGACTCTCCGAGCCGTGCTAAAGTTTATACCAAAATCGACCTCCGATCCGCTTATCATCTCGTCCGGATAGCGGAAGGGGACGAATGGAAGACTGCCTTCCGAACGCGCTATGGCTCCTATGAATGGTTGGTGATGCCGGAAGGTCTCACTAACGCTCCAGCAGCATTCCAGCGCTTTGTCAATAGCGTGTTTGCTGATATGCTGGATGTATGCGTTATCGTATATCTGGATGACATCCTCATCTATTCCCATGACCTTGCGTCCCACAAGCAACACGTCCGAGAAGTACTCCGTCGACTCCGTAAACATCGTCTCTATGCCAAACCCGAAAAATGCGAATTCCATTCCACCTCCGTTGAATATCTCGGATATCTCCTATCTCCGGACGGCTTAACTATGTCGTCCGATAAGATCCAAGCTATTACTGACTGGCCGGAACCTCGGAAAGTCAAGGATATCCAATCCTTCCTCGGATTCGCAAATTTCTATAGACGGTTTATATTCAACTACTCGGATATCGTGGTTCCGTTAACACGGCTTACACGCAAGGATGCTCCGTGGAACTTTTCCGATGAATGTCGGAAATCCTTCGAGGAACTCAAGAAAGCCTTCACTACGGCTCCGGTGCTTACGCACTGGATGCCGGATGTTCCTATAGTTGTGGAAACCGATGCCTCTGACTACGCTATAGCTGGAATACTATCCATAGTATGTCCGGACTCAGAGCTTCGTCCGGTAGCGTTCTACTCTCGAACGCTAACCGCTCCGGAACTTAACTATGACACCCACGAATAAGGAACTTCTAGCTATATACGAAGCTTTCCGGACCTGGCGACATTATCTAGAAGGCTCGGCCGAGCCTGTAGATGTTGTCACGGACCACAAGAACCTTGAGTACTTCGCCACTACCAAACTCCTCTCTCGCCGTCAGGCCCGCTGGTCGGAATTCCTCCATCAGTTCAATCTTGTCATCCGCTTCCGTCCCGGAAAACTCGGAGTTAAACCGGATTCCCTTACTAGACGCTGGGACGTCTATCCCAAAGAGGGGGATAAGGACTACGCTCGAGTTAACCCTCATAACTTCCGTCCGGTATTCACGTCCGAACAGTTAGCTTCGTCCCTACGAGCCTCAACCTTAGCAACTCCGGTTCTTAGAGCAGCTGTTCTAATGGATATTGATGACCTTCGGAAAGACATCCTGACCGCACTTCCTAATGACCCTATTGCAACCAACCATCTTCCAGTACCTTCAGATCCGAGATGGACAGTGGACGATAGGGGTTTCCTCCGTTGCGACAACCGTATATATGTCCCAGAATCCGATAACCTTCGACTTCGCGTCCTCCGTAATACTCATGATCACCCCTTATCCGGACATTTTGGTCAAAACCGAACCCTAGACCTCATCCGACGCGAGTATACATGGCCGGGTATACGCACCTATGTTAAGGACTACGTCCGGTCCTGCACTACCTGCGCCCGAGCCAAGGTTCCGAGACATAAACCCTACGGATTGCTCAAGCAACTACCCATACCGGAAAAGCCTTGGAATTCCATATCCATGGATTTCATAGAGCAACTTCCGGACTCATCAGGCTTTACAGCCATCCTCGTTATCATAGATCGTTTATCCAAACAAGCAATATTTGTTCCGACTCACGATACCATTACCTCTCCGGATCTCGCTCGTCTATTCCTACTTCATGTGTTTTCCAAGCACGGAGTTCCGTCCCATGTCACCTCGGATCGCTGGGGTACAGAGTTTGTATCCCAACTTCTTCCGATCCTTAGGAAAAGCATTGGATATGGTCCTCCACTTCACATCCGGATATCCATCCGGAAGGGATGGACAAACCGAGCGTGGCCAACCAAACCCTGGAACCAATACCTTCGGATATATTGCAATTATCAACAGGACAAACTGGTCGGAAACTACTTCCCTTAGCAGAATTTGCCTACAA